GTTGTAGAAATTTGCCAGAAAGCCATCCATCTCCGGGGTCTTGCCGGAATTCATTTTTTTTATAGTCTGTTTGATCTCTTGTGTTAGCTTTGTTCATAAACAACACTTGTTCTGAAGTTCAGGTATTAAAAGGCAGGCCTTCAATGAAATGATAAAACTTATCAGAGTCAAATTGATTGATTTATATAAAGCTTGATAGAATTGTTTAAATGTACTATATCTTTTGGGTCAAGGATGGAGAATAAGGAAGAGATATTACTGTTGCCTAGTTCCATCTTAAGTCTTCTGGCAAGTAGTTTACCTACTTTTTCTCCCCATTCATATCTTTGTTTGATCCTGTGGAATTCAAATTTTACTTGGCTGGATAAGCATTTGTTTTATTTATTTGGCATTGATTAGAGAACATAAGAGGTTTTCATTCTTTTGGGCATTCTTGTGCATTCTCTGCAACTCATCTATTTCCTTGTCCAGAGAGCCTAGTAACTTGATTTTTTCACTCTTCTTTTGGGAAGCATGCTTCATGCATTCTCCCCTCACAATAGCTTTCAGAGGTTCCCAAAAGATGGTATTTGAGATACCTGAGTGCTTATTTTCTTCTATGAAGTTAGAGATCACTGAATCAACTGTAGAGCAAAACTTTGCATCTTTTAGTAGCAGAGTGTTCAGCTTACACCTAGAAGATTTTAATTATGTGTAACCAGCGTCTATGGTAAGTATAATTGGAGCATGATCTGAAATTAATATATTATCAGTAGCTACTTCTAGCCATGCTGGAATCAGTTCTGAAGATGCAAGAAAAAAGTCAATTCTAGACTAAGGTGAATGTACGGAAGAGAAATATGTATAGTCTTGTTCCTTGGGGTGTGTCAGTCTCCATATATTGTTTGTATCAGCTTCATACATCAACAATAAAGGTTAGCTTATTGGGCTTTGAGAGCTGTGCAGATATCTATCTAATGTAGTATTCCAATTGCCTCCCAGTATTACAGGAATGTCTCTTTTATTAGAAAGGATGTCTGCAATATATTTGAAAAATTCAGAATTACCTCCACTTGGAATGTAAATGATTCCAAGAATTAACTTTTTTGAGTTGAAACAGCCTTCAAGAAGAATGTATCTTCCTTTGGGACTGTATATATTGAAAAGTTATACTTTTATGAATTAAAGTGGATGTGCCTCTGTTCTTAGAATTCAATAATTAATGATACTCAGCACCTACCCACATCTTCTTGATTTGATCGGCATTTATTTCTGCTAGAGGAGTTTCCTGCAATAAAGCTACTTGATCTGAGGTGTGTCAGGATTTTAATTCTTTTGGAAGGTTTTTTAAGTCCCCTCACATTCCAGGTCTACACTCTATGAAAATTCATGGCGAAGCTTTAAATGATGTATTAAGACATATAACCTTATTCTAAAGATAGCTATTTCTCTGTGCTATTGTAAAACCACATCTCTAGGATATGGTCTGTATTTATACATATTAGATACTAGTTAGTTTTGAGTTAATGTATATCTTCAGTTGACCCTCTAAGAGTCAGGTATAGAAAAAGATCTATAGTTAAATATCATATGTCTTCCAAAATATATTTGTCATGGAAAACAAACAAAAAAAATTAACAGATTTAAAACAAGCCAGTGGGGGCATGTTCAGATCCCTGAAGGCTTCAGTTCCAACTGCTCCTCCCCTCCCTATATTATGAGTAGTGCAGATAATACTTTAGTCAGTAGATGGTGCTATAAACCCCAGTTTAGGGTTAAATTATTACTCTATGCATTGCAGTGCTATACAGTTGTGATTGCTCAGTTACAAAGTTCAGTCTTGCTGGTTATCTGCTAGGAGTGGGAAGATGGTGTAATTGAAGATTACCATATCTACAAGAATACATAGGAAAACAAGTATGCCTTTTATGGTGATAAAACATTATGCTATTTTTGGTCAAATTTGGTCTCAATCTTTGAAGTGTCTGCCAAGCTTCAGAGGGGGTTTTGCAAAATCTTGTGGAGCCTGTTAAAGCCATAGTGAAGGTGGATGGGTACTTGATGCTGTAGCTGATGTTGCTCTCCCTCAGGATTTACTTATGCCATTGAGTGCAGTCCTCTTTTTGATAAGCTTGGCTAACTCAGGAAAAAGAAATTTTGTGACCTCTGTACATAAGGGTTTCCCCTTTTATGGCAGCATTCATTAACATTACTTTATCATTGAACTTCAGCAGCTTGAAGATGATGGGTCTGGGCTTATCAGACACCTGTCTTCTAGTACCAGGCATTCAATGAGCCCTTTCAATATCAAATGGGGGTGGCTGAGGGTCCAATTTAAGTATGTCAGGGAGAAGTTTCTGAAGAAAGGTGATACTATCCATCCCCTCCAGACCCTCAGCAGTGCCCAAGTGGTGAAGATTGTTTCTCTAAGATCTGTTTTCTAAGCCATCCTGTTTTTCTTCCAGTTTGTCTAGTCTAAGCTTTAAGGGGGCAGTTTCTACTTTAATTTCACTGCTTTCAATGGCAATCTTTTGTAGCTGATTTTCCAAGTGAGCAATTGGGGATTTTACATCACATACATCTTTAGAGAGGCCATGCATATCCTTTGAGATTGAAATCCAGTCAGTCTGTGAGGAAATCTTTCAGTGTCACAATGTCCTAGGCTAGGTTCTGCTATGGCCTTGAGGATCTCCCCCCTTCATCTGCTTAGGTGATTCAGGCTTGGGTCTTTTGTTGCCCCTCATTTTTTCATTGGAATCCATATTCAACAGTTTGAAGTTTATCCAGAGGATCAATGTAAAATTTTATGGCAGAAATGTATTGCCAATTTGCTAGGAAAGTAATTATTAGAGAAGAATTGATATGTGGTGAGTGAGGTGGTCTGGGACTAGACAACCATCTTCCTCATGAGTACCATGCAACCTCCCCTGTCTGAATCTGAAAGTGTTAGAAAACCTTAAATTTAAGAATTAGAGGATTTTAAAAATTTAATTTTAATTGAACAGTAGGTTACCTGAGAGACTCATGCACTGGGTTTTTGTGGTTTTTTTGTACTTGGTGTTGAAGAAAAGAGTCCTAAAGGAATACGCTTAAAACTCTTTGCTTAAAACTCTTTGTGTCATGGGTCTAAATTGTTCTGTTCCTTTTGTTTTTTAATCTGTTTAGAGTCTCTTCAATTTACAAAGGCTCATTTTCATGATTTGAGCCAAATAAATAGTGCCCTCACCAACAAGGTGAGGGGACATGGGACGCTGGCCAGTGCCTCTTCTTTTGTAATCCTGTAAGGGCAGGATTCCATGGTGCGGGCTGTTATGGTGACCTCTGACAGGTTTCAGAGTAACAGCCGTGTTAATCTGTATTCGCAAAAAGAAAAGGAGTACTTGTGGCACCTTAGAGACTAACCAATTTATTTGAGCATAAGCTTTCGTGAGCTACAGCTCACTTCATCAGACCTCTGAAGTGCACTTTGCCACTGAGCTCTAATGGCCTCCACCTGCTCTCATTGAAATCAATGGGACACTTTCCATCCTGTGTGCAAGCACGTATTGGGGGCAGGGGGACTGCACTGCGGAAAATGTGTTACACTTTTATAGATGTAGTAAAGGTCAATGGTGAGCATTCTGCCTGCAGCTCACTTCATGGTAATATAGCTTCCTGGCTTTTGCCTGCTTAATAAGCAAAACATAGCCCTGGTAAAGTCACTGCAATTGCAGGGTCTTATGTCAGGCCTGAATTTGGCCCATTGGCTCCAGCCATCACCACTCATGTGGTACAAATCCTTCCTTACCTCTCAGTGTAGCTCAGACACCATATGTCTTAATTTGTCCCTTTTTGAATTCAAAACCATGACTGCTGGATGTACAACCATACACACAATGCAAGGCAGTGCCACAAATTCTATAGTATACTCCAGTGGGTCCAGATAGCGACCTGTTTTCAAAACATATGCACAACTGCATTTGATGTCACTGTAGCGGAAGCCCAGAAAATGGTGCTTTCTGCAGGATAACAAGGTACCTTTTCAAAGGGTGTGGATTTAGCTGCATGACCTCAGTTAATATCAGGAGTTACATCGCTAAGTCCCAATGTGCTTTAAAACGTTACCCAAAGACCTTGAGAATTAGAAGCAAAATGGAAAGCTGCTTAGCCATTCATTTAAGCCAGAGGTGTCTGTAAACTATTTTCTTACAAGCTATTTTTTTTGCTTGAGTTTTAGTGAATTTAAGCTGCAGCAGGAGTGTTTGTATCTTCTTGATTTACAATTCTAACAGATTTTTAGTATTGCAACAAAAAGCCTTCTGCCAGGTGATACATACCTGAACCAGCCATGAAAGTTTTTGTTCTGTCTTAATTTCTCCAATATCAGAGTCTAATCATCAGAAAAATGTCACACACTGTAATGGAGTTAAAAAAAAAGTAACATAATTCCTCCAGGGTGAGTTTACATGTTATTTGAAGAGATGAAATTTTGGAGGCCATCTTGAGGAACCTTAGTGATTGGAGAAATGTATGTCCTGTGAGTAATTTAATATGCTTCTAATGTCATGCTTTAAAGTAATAGGGCCAAATCCTCACCTGGAGATCTAGCTCATGAGGTATATCTATGGTAGCTTCAACAAACCCAAGCTAGTGACCCACTGACCACCCTCACCCTGTGGCCTGGCCTGTCGTGAGATATAGCATTTGATCTTTTGGGACCGATATTTTTATTCAGGGTGGTGTATATCACATACAAAGTTTAACTGGACTTTTAAAATATCAATTTGGCAGATGCATTCAGTACTGGACAGGTTTATTTGACTCTATTAGGGGCTTTTCTTAAGGACAGAATGGATTCTTATACTATAGTTAGGAATTCAATCTAAGTACTTATTGATTTCTCACTTATCAGGTAAGTTCAAGCATTGCTTATCAGAGTTTTCACATACAGTGACATAGCCCTGATGAATAGTTCAAGTTTTAAATGGCTTCCCTCTCTTTTGCAGCATTGCTGAATACATTGTTTCTTTTCTGCATCACAGGAAGAATGCCAGAACTATATCCGTGTGCTCCTCGTTGGCGGTGACCGGCTCTTCACCTGCGGAACCAATGCTTTCACTCCTGTTTGCACCAATCGGACGGTATGAGTAAACAAATTGATCCCACATGTTCACAGAAATGATGACTATTGCCACTGTGAAACAAAACCGCTGCTATGGGGCTGTGCAGATTGGTAATGGGATATTTCACTTCTAGACTGTTAGCTCAAATACAGCACTAGTCAGTAACTGAAAGTAATCATCTCTCTGATCAGTTGCCTGTGTAAGATGTTGAGATCTCCACAGTGAACAAGCTTCCACATCACAAAAATCACCACCGTATTTGACTTTATTTAGTCCTCTTGTTGGCAGAAAGAGACTGAATCAGCTTTCAAGGCCAGCTTTCAACGCCTCTTATCTGTATAGAGGTACCTTTCAAGTTAAGGATGAGGCAGATTTGCATAGGGAAATTTGCCCTGCTGCTGCTGCCTGCGCTGTGCGTAATCAGAGTAGTTCACACTGTAGGGTTGTCAATCTAACAACATTCAATATAAGCAATAAATGTGCATACATTCAAAATTACAAGAAATGAGACAGCTGTAACTGCAATATGCAAATCAAATAAAGATTGGTCAATTAAAAAACTAGACTTCAGAGCCTTGGCCTAAAATCTAAATACCTTTTATTCGCTTTTTTCATATGCTTTTCAAACTTGCCAGAACAATTTCAGATACATGCAGCATGTCTTTAAAAATAAAATCAATTTTTAAAAGGTGTTGTAACTGCCATGTTTGCAGAAGATCAAAAGGGTTTAGTAATTTTTTTCAGCAAGAAAATACTGAGCAAATGTAGTTTTTTGTATTCCAGAGCACGTTCACAAGCATGACTGTGATGTGTACTGAACCTTTCCAAATTCATCTTTGGGTTTTGGGAACAAACATGTAACCCTCCTTTCTTCCCTGGGTTACTTGGGATCAGGCAACACTCACCTGTGTGCCTGATGTTGCTGACATTATAGGAGATTCTGAGTATCCCAGTGGTGATGTTGGATAAGTGGGAATCCTCTATCCACCCTCTGCTGTGGTCCCTTTACTCCTAAAGGAAGTTAAAATTGGTGGTGCCTCCACCTGGCTGGCTCCTGACCTGTACACACTCAATGGTGTGCCTTGGGAACCTCCAGGAATAAACCCCTTCAAATAGTAATAATAATAACTCATGGCATGGGTCTAACTCAAATACCAATTATAAATTATATTAAGTATACATCCAATATACTTAAATTAGAGCTAACACTCATTTACTTAACAACTTAAAGAAACAGGGTATAACAGGCTAAGATTAAATGTCACTACTGATTTAAATCCACAGGGGGGGAAGTTGAATAAAATCAATTAACAAATATAGTATACAGTACCATTTACCCCACCCTGGAGCGTACACTCCTCTGGATTTCAGAGTCCGAGACACTTGCGTGGACGCACTGAAGATCTGAAGCTGGAGACAGCGCTCTGTGGGTTCTGTGTATCAGTCCAGCCACGGCAACAAGCTGCACAACCCCAAAGAAGGCTGGGGCTGGCTCCACCAAATGACAGCAGCTCTGGGTCCTGGTTCAATGGGAAGATCACTCTGCCTCTCCTCAGACTCAGTCTCTCTGCAGTGCCCCTTCCCGGGCAAGTACTTTCTCCATTAACAGTGGGGGTTACTCACAGTCCTTCACTGCAGGCCCAGCTCAGTCAGCTCTAGGCACAGCAACAGCCTCTGCCCTGGCTGTAGTGAAGCCACCAACAGCCTCTGATCAAAGCCCCTGCAGACTCTCAGCAGCAGCTCCTGGTATGGACAGAGCTCCACAGCAGCCACCTCACGCCTCTTCAAACTGGAGTCTACCACCTGCTCTCCCTGCCGGAGGAAGTCTCTCTTTCTCTCTCTCTCTCTCTCTCTCTAAGGCTAGATTGCTGCACACAGGTTTTTCCCCTGGAACACTCCAAATAAAGTTCAGAGGCCCCTCTAGTAAAGGGTGCCTACGAAACAGATATGATAAGATACAGACATTTAAATATCTTCGTAGAGAGAAAAGAGATTTTAGCATGATTTCAAAGTGTGGTTATGATAAAACCATGAAACTGACATCCCCTTTTTATTTAAGTGATTTTGTTGAATGTTTTCTTGGAATTTTACGCCTCAATATATTTCACAATATAGCAATACACAAGAGATGAGATACACAGCCAAATTTCAAATGTATTACGTTTAACAGGGTGTCCAAAATCCACCTTTGCGTGCATAAATCAGGATTTAAGTACATAAAATGGAGGGTCACAAAAACTTGGTGTGTGCATCCCATTGTGTAAAATTTGGATATCTAATGAATGTCATTGTGGGCCAAAAAAAGTAAAGAAAGGCTGATGCAGCTATGTACAGATAGATTTAGCTAAGATGATAATATATATGACGCTGATTTCTGATTGGTGTCAGCAACAAACCTCCAAATTTTTGGAAATGTTATTCTGCTATTTTTAACACAGACACAATGTATGGATTTAAAAGATGTTAACAAGAAAATTATTGATTAAGGATATATCAAAGGGAGAGATAGAGAGAGAATGCATCAAGGATTAATTAAAATTAGAATAAACATCAAAATAGCAAAAAGAAAAGGAGTACGTGGCACCTTAGAGACTAACAAATTTATCTGAGCATAAGCTTTCGTGAGCTACAACTCACTTCACTGCACTCACTGAATGTATCCGATGAAGTGAGCTGTAGCTCACGAAAGCTTATGCTCAAATAAATTTGTTAGTCTCTAAAGTGCCACAAGTACTCCTTTTCTTTTTGCGAATACAGACTAACACGGTTTCTACTCTGAAACCTATCAAAATAGCACTGGCTGGAATATGGTGACCTTTTATTGGTGTTTTGTTTTGTTTGTTTAAGTATAATTCTTAATTAATTAATGTAAATGTTTTCCTCACTGTGTTTCTTTGAATCTGGAAGATAAAAAGACCAGAAGGGCATTATATTTCTAACATGGGCCTGGAAAAAAGGTGTTAAAGAAGTGTGCTTGGCACTGTGTTATGGTAACATGAGACATTTTCTGAGCTTATGGTATTTTTCTTCACTGATGGTGTGGTTTGTCTCATCTTGTAATGCTTATGTAATTTTTTTTGTCTTTTCCAGTTAAGCAACCTGACAGAGATACATGATCAGATCAGTGGCATGGCTCGCTGTCCTTACAGTCCCCAACACAATTCCACAGCTCTTCTCACTTCCAGTGGGGAGTTATATGCTGCTACAGCCATGGATTTCCCAGGAAGGGATCCTGCCATTTATCGCAGTCTGGGGGCTCTTCCTCCTCTCCGCACTGCACAATACAATTCCAAGTGGCTCAATGGTAAGTATTGACAAGCCTCAGTGCTTTTGTTTTTGTTGTACCCCATTTTCCCCTTATCTACATTCTTCAAAGCCTGTCCTTTGAGTATGCAAGGTTTTGAAATGCTTTTTACTTTAAAAATTGTTTCAAAGCTTTCCAGTCTTTGGAATGTGACACAAAGCAAAGTCCATACATAATGTAGATAACTGTACCTTGATGCAGGACTTTGTGGGTCATAATTTTAAAGGGGTCAACCTGTCTCTGATTTATGCACATACACCAGTGTGTACAATATTTGTGACCTACTTGCATATAGTGACAGAACAAGGAGTAATGGTTGACAGAACAGGGAGTAATGGTCTCAAGTTGCAGTGGGGGAGGTTTAGGTTGGATATTAGGAAAAACTTTTTCACTAGAAAGATGGTGAAGCACTGGAATGGGTTACCTAGGGAGGTGGTGGAATCTCCTTCCTTTGAGGTTTTTAAGGTCAGGCTTGATAAAGCCCTGGCTGGGATGGTTTAGTTGGGAATTGGTCCTTCTTTGAGCAGGGTGTTGGACTAGATGACTCCCTGAGGTCCCTTCCAACCCTGAGATTCTATGATATGCAATCAGTATGCACACAAATGATTATGCTTCCATTCCAGCAAAACACTTAGGCAGAGGATGGCCACTCATTCATCCCCAGAATATCGGACATTCCAGTACTTCTGGGAATGGCATGAGCCTACCCTCACCTGTGTGACTCCATCCACACCAGTGTGACGTCACTCCACATGGGAGCTGCCCTTTAGAAGAGTGCACCAGCAGGGGCAGGGCAATGCACTCTTCAAAATGGCACCTCCACATCTGGAGCTGGACAAAATCATGGCCGGTTTTTGTCTCAGTACTGGATAGGAGACAAACCTTAGAAAAGCAGAACTGTCCAACTTAAAACCGGACAAATGGCCTGCCTACTTAGGCACATGATTAACTTTAAGTATGTGAGTAGTCCCATTAGCTTCAAGGCCTATATGTGCAAGATGTATAAGAGAAAATATAAATGCCATATTTTGAAATTTCAGCCCCAAAGGGACATTGTGCATCAGGGTAAAAATAATTCTTACTTTAAAGAGTTGACATTGTTCTTTTAATTAACTGATCCTTGAAAAGTAAAACTGAACAAATTATATAAATGGGAGAATGCTTTGTTTAACTGTTGGTTCACTTTTCATACTTTCCACTCTTTAAGTCATGATGTATGAGTTCTGGGTGCTTATCCAAACCACTTTGGTCTCGAAATCTAGATGTAGGAGCACTGGATGTATGATATTCTCAGTATACCAGGTAAATGAGGCAGTAGCAAAGTATGCATGTTTTCTGTAATAAATTTATATGAAACTTGCTTGATGAAAATATTTATGAAAAGTATTGTTACTGCCTCTGAGTCTCTGTATGCCACTTTTAACATCTCTGTACTGATGCTTTTTACAAAGATTAGTTCTGAAAATAACCGGAGTCTCGGTCTGCCATTCAGCATACTGGCCTAAAAATTATATTTCAGTAAATATTTGTTTTGGTTATTAAATACTTAAATGTTTTTCCATTGCTCTGTGTGATTTTTACAATAGTTTAAAAATGTATCTGTTAAATTATCATAGAGGCATCTATAATGAACTGACCAAAGACTCGTACAATTTTACTCTTGTAGCAAGTAATACACAGAAGGAATCAGGGAAGGGTGAAAATGCCTAAGAACTATTTTCTGTGCTTATGCAGATATGAAACAGCCAAGTAGACCTTATTTGAACCATTAAACATTTCTCATGCATAGACCTGGCAAACTTTCCACTGTGTGAGCAGTCCAACAGTTTGAATGCCAAATTTTAGTCTAGAGTGAATGTTTACAGCAGTTACAAATACATGAAAATAGATATAGAGAAGACCTTTAAGTCTAGGGACTTTCTGACAGCACTATACTTCTGTGTATGTGTTTAATGTTTAAATTATTGTGAGATGAAACATAAATATAGCAGCAGTTTGCAGAAATGTAGAAACTTGATCATAAACAACATATACATGTCTGTACTGGCAGACATAGAGATAAACTGTGTAGTGTTTCTCAGGTGTGCTTACATAGGAATGCTCAGTCTGCCAACTGTAGTAGCCTGTCTTGATGTTCTTCTCTTGAATAGTTGGAAAAGCAGAAGCAAAAAGTAAACAATTAGAATAAATTGAATGCTTCTGGCTGTCTTGGTATGGCCTTGTCTTGACAGGCAAAAAGGGTGTGTTTTTCAATTATGTTTGCTTAATTGAGTTAGTTTAACAGGATTGATGGAAAATCTCATTAAGCTACAGACTAACAAATTTGAAGCTGTTTATAGCTTAAAGAGGAAGACTAGACTACAATATGGCCAACTACTGCAGCTAATAAATTCACTTTCCTAGGAAATTTTACTTTGTCACAAATGATAATCAGCTGATAAGGACTTCCTGCTGGGAGAATCAGTTAAATGGTTGCTTTCACGAGGCTTTCACAATCTATTCATTTATTTAAAAAAAAAAGTTTCAAGTGTTTCTAAAAAAAAAGTCCCCTGTAATGTAATATAATTGCAAATATCTACGAAACCCTCCTTGGGGCTTGTCTATGCTAGGAAGATGCATCTTGTTATAACTTGTGTCAAGTAACACAACACTGACCACAATTCTGCAATCAGGTGCACTTGTTTAAGTCTCGAAATGTGTGTGTTCCCCTGCGAATTTTCTCAAGTGTAAAGTTAAGCACATGCATAAGTTTTTACAGGTTCAGGAACCTAGGGTTAACCATGACTAGTTGACATGATTTTAAATATGACAGCACTTGTATAAAATGAGTGCTAAGTTGTGTTGAACATTGTGTATTACCATGTGTGTTAGCACATATAGATCAATGAATTTTCCCAGAGCAGACAAGCCTTTAGAGAAAGCCTGGGAAAATTAATGAGCTTTGCAATATGCCCTCATTGTCAGCAGGTTTCAGAATATAAAGTGTGAAAGATATGCATGGTATGATTCTGATCTCATTTTACATCAGTGTAAATAAAGCAACTCCATTGACATTCATAGTTATAGCAGTGCAAAATTGGCATGAGAGGAGAGACAGGCCCTCTGTGTGTGTGTGATACTCTCATTTACTCAGTATTTATCTACATACCTAAGGTGTTACAACTACTCACTTAACTAGGACGCCACTGTGGCAGAAAAAATATCCTTATTACCAGGTTTTCATGTTAACCGTATACAGTCTGTATTGTATCCAAAGGACAAAATAAAATCTGTTCCCTAAAATTATACCAGTTAATCAGATTGACTTTATTAACATTTTCTCTACTAACTAGCTTCAACTCTACCTATTAACTCTCTGTTGAGGCCCACACTTCAGCATCAAAGCTTTTATCTGTTTGGATTTAAGTCTTATCATCAGAACACAGATTTTAGCTTTAAGAAAAAATATAAGAATTATAATTAGGGTTTGTTGAAAGCAAATCTAATAAAAAGTTGGAAGCAAAGTTTTACCTAACTGAGGTGAGGGGAGGGAGGTGGGAGCACCTTAGGGAGCATCAAGTGTCAAGGTACTGGTAAATTCATCTTGTGTTATGTCTATCTGCCTGCTCACACATAACTCAGCCAGTAAATCACACTAGCTTTGCATCACTGGAGTACAGTGGAGACTTTCAGTTCCTACAATGAGAGAGTGGAATGTATCTACAGCAAGAAAACTATGGCAGTCTGACTAATTGGAAAGGAGGCTTCCTATCAAATATTAGTTATGCAACAGTTGTATAGAGTTACTACACTTTTATTGTGTGTGCATGCACGTTCACATATGTGTGAACCAGCAGCATTGCAGTAGGAAAAGATTTCTCTGGTGCCTGATGGTTCAGACATGGACGAGATTCTTTTATCTAACATGGTGGATTTGCTGCTCTGCAGATCATGATGGGTCTTTGCTGTGAGATCTTGCCAATATCCTAAAATTCAGTTGGCTGGGCTAGAATCATAGAATCATAGACTTTAAGGTAAGAAGGGACCATTATGATCGTCTAGTCCGACCTCCTGCACAATGCAGGCCACAGAATCTCACCCACCCACTCCTGTAACAAACCTCTAACCTATGTCTGAGCTACTGAAGTCCTCAAATCGTGGTTTAAAGACTTCAAGATGTAGAGAATCCTCCAGCAAGTGACCGGTGCCCCACGCTGCAAAGGAAGGCGAAACCCCCCCCGGGCCTCTGCCAATCTGCCCTGGAGGAAAATTCCTTCCCAACCTCAAATATGGTGGAGAGCTAAACCCTGAGCATGTGGGCAAGACTCACCAGCCAGACACCCAGGAAAGAATTCTCTGTAGTAACTCAGATCCCACCCCATCTAACATCCCACCACAGGCCACTGGGCATACCTACCGCTAATAGTTGAAGATCAATTAATTGCCAAAATTAGGCTATCCCATCATATCATCCCTTCCATAAACGTATCAAGCTTAGTCTTGAAGCCAGTTATGTCTTTTGCCTCCACTGCTTCCCTTGGAAGGCTGTTCCAGAACTTTACTCCTCTGATGGTTAGAAACCTTCATCTAATTTCAAGTCTAAACTTCCTGATGGTCAGTTTATATCCATTTTTTCTTGTGTCCACATTGGTACTGAGCTTAAATAATTCTTCTCCCTCCGTGGTATTTATCCCTCTGATATATTTACAGAGAGTAATCATATCTCCCCTCAGCCTTCTTTTGGTTAGGCTAAACAAGCCAAGCTCTTTGAATTTCCTTTCATAAGACAGGTTTTCCATTCCTCGGATCATTCTAATAGCCCTTCTCTGTACCTGTTCCAGTTTGAATTCATCCTCATGGCAGACCAGAACTGCACACAATATTCCATATGAGGTCTCACCAATGCCTTGTATAATGGTACTAACACCTCCTTATCTCTACTGGAAATACCTCACCTGATGCATCCCAAGACCTCATTAGGTTTTTTGACGGCCATATCACATTAGCGGCTCATAGTCATC